TGATATTCTTTCCTTGAAAAGGCCCCACAATTTCAGCGATCCGGGCACAAGAATTTCCAAGAGAGAAAGGGACATCTTCTGCTAATATAGAGTTCCCCGATAAGGCCACCATATAAGCAGCATAAAGAGACAATAAAGAGGGAGGCAAAACATTTGTGACACACGACAATGAGGAGGATCTTGAAAAGGAGCCGCGACTAGCTTAGCTCCTCCTCACCGTCGATACCCGTGACACACCCCCAACGACCGACAAGCTACCGAGCTGCTGCCCTTCGTCCCGACGAGCCCAGTCCGCCACGCCCGTTGCAGCCGAGACTCGCCGCAACGCTAGAGCCCCGCGACGAGCCATGATCTGTTACAACCGATGCCGAGATGAGCTGCTGTCCCCTCCCCGTGTGGCCAAGCCGTCGAGCCGTCGTCTCCCTGCACCGCCGTGTCGACCTGCCACCGAGTCCCATTAAGAGCCGGGACTCGCCAAGCTTCTGTTTTTCTGTCCCGTCGTCTTTGCTGCCACCTAGCCTGACATCATCGAGTCGCTGCTCCAGCGTCAGCTGAGCCTTGCCGGCTGAGAATCACCACGAGCCACCGTCCCGTCAAGTCTCGTGATCCGCAATCCTGATCCCTATCGTTCGAATTTGGAAAGTTATCCACAAATTAGGTAAGATTATCTTCTAGTTTGATCTTTTAAACTTGTTGCCTATTTTGTAGATTTCTGCTATCTTTGAGTGAGTACGTAATATCCATAAAAATTTAAGAATCACCCCAAGTTAAGATTTCGTAAATTAACAAGCTGACCTCTAAACACTAGATGCGATACTCAACATGGAAAATTTTCCATCATATCCATAACACTTGGATACGATCGTTGACTTATCTTGTTTCCAAATTTAAATGGAAAACCTTCCATCAATATCCATAACCACTTGGATATAATCATTGGATTATTCTATTTCCAAATTTAAATAGATAATATAAATTTTTTGAATTGTGTTGATGTTATCTAATGGGTGTTTATCAATGTTTAATTCTTTTTGCTAAAGAAAATATAAATAAATAAAAAAGATTAGGTAGAATTTAATTTGATTGTTATAGATAATTTGCATTCTTAGAGTTTATTTAGATTGGTTTTTTAGATAGAATAGGATAGATTAGGTTCACTTTTGAATATATTCAAAAAAGATAAGATAACTTCCAATTTAAATTAGGATTTAGAATAATTAATTTCCTAGTTTAACTTAGATGTTATATTAATCTTGGTAGTTTTTTTAGGGTAATTTTTTATTATGAATTTCCATGAAAAATACCTAAAAAAGAAATCATTGTAAGATAAGTTAATTACATTTCTAGAACAAGATTGCATGTTTAATTTAGGTTATTTATTTATCCCAAATTTTAATAAGTTAATTTTATTTCCTTAGTTTAAAATCGCATGTTTAGATAATATGTTTTTATTAATTACGAATTTTGATAAATAAAAGAATACATCGTTTGCCGGTCATATAGTCTTACATAAATTGCATGTCATTTAAAAATTGCATGTTAAGGCATTTAATTAGAAATTATATGTCACGTTTTGTACATCATTGCATATAGGTTGGTTTTCATATAATCAAGAATAAACCAAAAAATATATAGAGTGGAATTGCTTATTAATTAGAAATTATATTAGGGTTGATGATGTAATTTTCAAACTAACATTCACATTGTTTTGAGTAAGTACATTCTCCTTATCTTGAAATTTATTTATTACTTTGATTATTGAGTATTACTTTGGTGGTTTACGATACCGCATGATCATTTCACATGTTAGGTGGTAATAAAATTAATCCAGGCTATCTTCTCAAATATCTTTATGAAAAAAAAATATACCGAAGAGCGTTAGAGTAATCTAATGTAATCAAGTCCCTATACTCATAATCTCTAGTTCAAATTTTACTTGGGTTTCTAATCGACTCACTGTAAATAGATTAGTGACGACTCATAATTAAAAATCATTTTCATGTTGAGAACTTAATTCATAAGTTGCGAATTGGCATAGGCTTGGGAGATGCTGAGTTAAGTCTAGGCTTAATGATCCATTAGCCAAACCCTTAGGTGGTGCTCCTCAAGGTAAGGTCGCGGCAGCTTGGGCTAATGGATCATTAAGCTTAGACTTAACTCGGGCTCTCCTTAGTTCATACCAAATCGTGAATTATGATTCAAGTTTTTAATATGCAAATGATTTTCCATTAGAAATCACCACTAATCTATTTACAGTTGGTCAATTAGAAACCCAAGTAAAGTATCGGGAGATTATGAGTATATTGACTTGGTTACACTAGATTACTCTAATGCCCTTTCAATACCATTTCTTTTCATGAAAATGTTTGAGTAGGCAGTTTGGATTAATTTTATTGCTTACTAACATATGAGATGATCATGCACCAAATTAACATCCAATTATCAAAGTGATAAATAAATTGCAAGATAGGGAGAACATACTTACTTTGAAGCAACGTAAACATTTGCAATGTTAGTTAAAAAATCACATCATTAATCCTAATATGATTTCTAATTAACACGCAATTCTAGTCAATTTATTCTTTGGTTTTCTCTTGATTATATGAAAACTAACATATATGCAATGACGTACAAAAAAAAACGTGCAATTCCTAATTAAATACCCTAATATGCAATTTTTGAATGACGTGCAATTTCATGATCCTAAGACTATATGACATACATATGATATATTTTTTCTATTTTTTATTAAAATTCGAAATTAAAAATGCCTAGTATCTAAACATGCAATTTTAAATTAAGGAAAGAAAATTAACCTATTATAGAGCATTGTTTTTGTATTTTCTTATTAAAATTCGGAATAAATAAATAACCTAAATTAAACATGCAATCTATCCTACAAAAAAAATTAACTTGTTCTAAAATGATTTTTTTTTTGGGTAATTTTCATGGAAATTCGGAATTAAAAATTACCCTAAATAAACAATCGAGATTAGGATAATATCTAAGTTAAATTAAGCAATAAATTAATCTAAAATCTAATTTAAGTTGAAAATTATCCTATTCTCCTAGAATGAATTCAAGAGTGGATGAAATCTATCATATTCAATCTAAAGAAAGCAAACTAGATAAACTCTAAGCATGCAAATTATCTCTAAAAATCAATTCAAATTCTACATAATCTTTTTAGCCTTTCTTTTAGCAAAAACAAATCAAATAAGAGATAAACATTATCGTCAAATCACATTCACGCAATCTACAAGATTTGGCTTATCTGTTTAAATTTGAAAATGAAATAAACTAGCATCATATCCAATATCCAATTGGTTATGGATATTAATAGAAGGTTTCTCGCTTAAATTTTGAAACATGATAAATCAATGATCATATCCAAGAGGTTATGGATAGGATGGAAGATTTTTCGTTATGCCGAATATCATATCCCATAGTTAGAGATCGGATTGTCATCAAAACACGTTGTTAAGTTAGGAAAGTTTCATAACTTAGGGTGATTTTCTTTTTATTTTGTGGATATCACACATACACCCAAAGATAGCGAAAATCCACAGTAGATAACAATATCGATCATATTAAGTAATGAACTATTCAAATTGATTATAGCAAAAAAAAAAAGAACTATTCAAATTGATATTGGATGAGATCATTGCCTAATTTACAAATAGTTTCCAAATTCGACATGCATTGAGAAGACATGCGTTGCATTAATCTGGGTGTTGCATAGACTAAGGCAATACACCCTCCATCATCAAATCTTGTTGGTGACCGAAAATAACCCAATCAAATACTTACTTGAGAAATCTTCTTTGGTCGGGAAATTAGCAAAGTGGCAAGTCGGTTGAGTGATGGAGTTTGTTCATTTGTTTCTCTTCATCATTCAAGGTTGGAGCTTGTCTTTCTTGTATGTCTTGATCTTATTTTATTTTGGTTCTGATTCAGTCGCCGTGTTCCTGAACACGGGATCAGAGTTTAAAGCGAAAGTATGCTAGCTTGCGTCGCCATCTAGGGCGTCACAAACCCATTCCTGCAGTCTACCGGTTCATCTAGCTCTGTCATGGTGTTTGAATGTGTGTGAGTTTAACCTTTAAGCTATGCGTCTTGTTTCTCAAGACTGGTACTCATACCTTGAAACCGAGTTTCCCTCGTTTGGCCATCAGTCGCCTTAGTTGTTTTTCTTGTCATTTTTCTTGATGCTTAAGTTTATGTTCATCATGGAAATGTTAGGGTCAAAATGGCGCAACAACTCTCTAAATCCGAGTGGTGGTTCAAGTTGGCTTTAGTACTCTAGGCTAGGCTCATTTTCTTGTCCGTTGTTCATGTTTATTTTGATACTAGTTAATGTCAAAGATTAGTAGTTGGTGATGTCCTCTCGGTTGAGTGTCCGCTTGTTTACTTCTGTCTGGGCATTTAGTTCATTTTGTATATCTTGTAATTTTCATGCAATCCGTTTTGTTGTGATATGAATAGCCAATGTTGTTTTCTCGTAGGATTGTCGTCCTTTCGACGTGTTATGGATGATGTTCCCATTCCATGTTTGGGCTGGCCGCCACCATCCATGGCTGGATGGTGGCCGTTTAGCTTGATTTTTGTCCACTTTGACACACTCCGAGTCGGCCCTCACAGGTTGCCATGGTTCAGGTATGTGTCGGCACGCCCTTGAGTGATTTTAAAGCGATTTTCGAGTCTAAAACAAACAGTTAACACCCGCTGTAGCACATTTGTGCTTGCTGGGCAGCGGGCGTTTAGTTTGATTTTGGTTCAATAACACTCCCTGACGCGTCTAGAACAACAAGCTCCTGAAAAAGATATGGCCCTTCAAATTTCAGTACAGAGAATGGACAGACAGCCACGAAAATTATTTGTAAAGAAGTTTGAGAAGGCCCTTGAATCTAAGAATCGCAATTAGCGTGAACATTATCTTGAAACTCAACTGGTCCTCTCCAGCCTTCCACAACTAAGCAGCAGCAGCATCCAAACGTTGGTGGAGAAACACAGGTATGATCTAATTGCCTGATTTTCAAATTAGTCAAGCTTGGCCAGTTAGGCAAAAGATGGGAAAATTAAACGGGTAGATGTGAATCTTCTTAGTGTTGCTTGCATGTACAACCAGCAGCTGGACTAAGGTTTCGCCGTAAATACCAGCTCTTTCAGCCCCTCTCTCTCTCTCTCTCTCTCTCTCTCTCTCTCTCTCTCTCTCTCTCTCTCCAACTATACAGGATTTGAAAAAAAAAAGACAGCCATTTTGTTTCTCCCATAACATGTCAAAAACCTCCCACCCAGCTTTTCTCTAGTAGACACTCTAGAGAAACAGGGGAACAAGTATCACCTTGCATGCCCTGGAGAATGAAAAACGACCTCTGCAACTATAAATAGCTGCGTATTGAAGTTTCACACAATTGGCAGTGGAATGTTGTCGTTGCTACTACGGGGGTACATCTGTTTCTGGACAGCCTTCACCGCTGCAACTCGAGCTGCATTTGCTGCCCTATTAGCCGCTGCGACAGCCCTATTAACCCTTTCGTCAACCTTGGCCACGTCATAAGCTCTCTCCGCTGCTCTTCGTGCTTCCTGATCACGAGAAATCGACAAATAAATCAACAATTACATCGTTTTGGCCAGTTTAGCAGACTTGAGAGAAATAAACTGTCGATAATAAAACTACTTTACAACTGCTCTGCAGCTAGAAAACAGAAATCAGGTGGAGTCATCTCCTGGACATCCGCAACTCATCTCCTTATGTCAGCTATGTAAGACTCATGCAAGTAAATCGGGATATCTTTTTTACTTCTGTAATTTTTTTCTCTGTGATCACAATTATATTCAAGAGGACCAGCTAATGCAAGTAAGTTATATTAACAGAATGGCCATCAAAGACCCAAGGTTATGACAATGAACTTTCAAAAAATGTTCAGAGCTTTCCATTCAACACCTGAACATACATCCCTGCCGAAGAATGATACCAACCTCCAAAAATAGGCTTGCACAGGATTATTTCATATTTCCAATTTTCAGTATCCACTTTCCTTTTGAAGTATTTATATTTCCCCAAAATTATTGTAAACATAAAGCACAAAGGATTAAACTTCCCACCAGGTAGTAAGTATACGTTATTACTTCCCGTAACGAATTCAAAATTTGGAGCGATCATGAAAGCAGTAAAGCCGTTAGTTCCTCATTGATGATATGCTCAAACTATAAGCACGATTCCACCTAAACATCAAACAGTCATCTATCATCTGATAAAGAATAAATGACACAATTCAAGCATCAGCCCAACAACTTAATTGTTTGCACTTGATATAATCTTTTTTCAATGGGACATAATGCAATCTCTTTATGTCTAACAGGCAATGCATCATGGAACAGCTGCTTAGCTGCTGAAACTCAAACTTTTAACTGTCCCCTTTCCTTCTTATTTTTTTTTCAAGAATTAGGGGCTCTATTATCAGCATAACCATCTCTAATAAAGTTCGTAAATTAGTTCAATTTTTCTCAGACCCCTTTAGGCATGCCTAAATCGTAATGACACCCCACACATTTAACAAAATCGAAAATCCCTGGTATCATGTAGAATTGATGCCCTTGAGAGATCCTATTGAACTTCAAACACTTGATATATGCTTAAATGGTGTTTTTTAGGTTCAGATTACATCATAACTGATAAGCCACTCATTATCTTATATAGATGGAGCATTGCTAAATGGATTGCAAACAGTCCAACACTCCTAACTAGACCAGATCAAAAAATTGCACACGAACTGGATTATTTTGGTAATAAAATGCCAAAATATCAAAGTAGATCAAGCAAAGGAATTTGGCATCAAAGCCTTGTGGCCAGTGCCCAACACCGTCTAACAAAAGGTCATAGATTTTCAAAATTTTACGAGCATTGCCACAAGCATTATTTTGATATGGAAGTGTGTCTGTGCAATTGATCCAAAACTGAGATATGCTAGAAATCAAACTCTCGAGAACCAGATGAAATAATAAAACTTATCAAAATTCGCAGACCTTGACAACACACAAACAAAATGCAGAAAATGATTAAGGAACTTTGAACCAAACTCTCATAGAAACAAAAGTCCTTCCTCACCAGTAGCAGTTTAACTGCTTTCTTAGAAGTATTTCCTGCTAGTTAAACTGTTCTCAGTTATGGCATGTTTAGTATGATGGAATCAGTATGGAATGGAATGCCCATTGCAAGTCTGATTCCAGTTCCTATGTCTGGCGCAAGAAGAGAAAAAGTAATGCCCATTTCAAATGGAATGGGCATTCCTTCTACTAATGGAATGACCAATTCCATAGCCAATCTATGAAATGGCCTTTCCTTTCCAATACTTAGAAAATTAATTATAATTGCTTTATCGAGGTAAGTTATATTTGTGGATATTATTGGCTATTTCCTTATGAATTTAAGAATAATCTGTTTCAGATATTCTCATCACATGATTTGTTATTTCTATTTAGTAATTCCCAAAAATAATGTCAATACAATTGGGAAAACTTCAAAGCCCCTCTCCCTTCTATGTCTGTTAACTTTGTACTGCAAATATTGTGGCAATCATGTTCTCTGACAAAAATTGTCAAAACAAGGTGTAGCAGCAAAAACACATCATCCATATTGCAATTCCTCCTAGCTTTCAACAACCCCCACCAGATCCCTTCCTACTCTAAGTCCAACCTTTAGAGGATTTTGCATCAAACTCAAAACAGTTTTGCTTTGAAAAAGTTGGTAAGATGAACTTTGAACTGAAGACTAATTGACTAAGACCCATTCTAACTCGGAGGAGATGTAGCAGTCCACAAAACTTTCAGGGACAGTCTATTCTGTCATTGAAGTTTAACAAATTATCTTGATTACCACAACATTTAAAGTCAGAGCTTGAATGCTTAAAGGTGGAGCTAAACCTATTCAAAAGGAAGATCAGTTTCAATAAATCATATTTTTTATTGCAGGCAAGTTTCGTTTCTTCTTTCTTCAGGGGAGTTTATATTTCAGCCTTACTGTGTCTAAAAATCTCACAGAAGTCATTTCCTTTGTCATGTAAAATTCTTTGACATTTTGTTGCCCATGCATTATAATCACGCAGTGTTGCTATCAAGGCAACAGGCTAATAACCTAACTGAACGACTGAGCCAACGACCATTCCCTCAGTGACCACGCCGTAAACGGAAATACAATATGCGGGCATTGAATAAAAAGTTAAAAAGGGAAATAAACCTTTAGTCAAACCCAGAAGAGACAATTTATCTGGATCCTGGGATAAATGCAGCCTGGTACTAATAGGCCTGTTACAGAGACCAAGGCTTCAGGGCCATGCATCAACAAGAGGAACAGTCCCTAATATAATGCTAACACCTGGCCTGAGCCAGCCCTAGTAAGTAATTCCATCACGCCAGGCCAATTTGAAACTCCAACCATAATGGCAATTCTTATGCTAACGACAAAGATCATAAGCAATATATTTTCCTAAACCCATTATTGACATCAGTCTCACATCCCATGGACTAGAAAAGCTTACAACAGATTCTAATGAGTAATTACCTGCACGGCGTTGAGCACTTTAGAGTGATTGACTGCGACTGGAGAATCAGGGTACATGGTGCTCTGTGTACTCGGTATATCAAGAATCCCATTCTGCCAATGTCCAGATTGAGTTTCCCCATTTCTAAAAGTGTACATGCCAAGCCCTTGCCGCCTACCCTCATGCCAAGCACCCTCATAGCGATGACCATTGGCAAAAGAATAGATGCCGAAACCATGCATCTTGTCTGCAAAGTATTCTCCAGAATACGTGTCACCATTTCTACAAAAGGAAGACGAATAAGCTTAACACGGAATGCTGTAGAGATAGAAAACATCTACTGTTGCAAAACAAAGTACGAAAACTATTTTGCTCGGAAACCTAACAATTGCCACAAGGCTGAAAAGGCATTATGACAGCATTTAAGGATGCTATGCATTATGAAACTCCTGAAAAAGCACATGAAGAGAAGCTTTGGCTTGTCTTTCTTATGCTAGGACAGGCAAAAAAAGGACCTTATGTCATAAAATTATGATAACATCAAAAAGATCTCAACCATGCACAGTAAAATGATGTAATATTGGAAACATAAATTCCTTGGCATTTCAATGACTCTGTCAAGCACATATATATACTCATCATAATAAAGCGAAAAAAATACAGATAAACACAGATTTCAAATCAGATGAAAAACATTCCAGATAAACAATCCAAAGAATGCAGAGACAATAGGTATCTCAATAAGCTCTCACAATAATAGCACAAGCTCCACGGATGAACTTCCCAAACATCACCTGCAAGCTACGTGCAGATAAGCCAGGAAGCCAGGAACTTGACACAGTATACAATCACCAGAGTCCAGTTTTTAAGTAGTTAACTGATCGATGCTCTTTTTTTCAGGCCACAAGTAATCGACGCATTCAACCAATGGTAAGTTACCTGAAATGGTAGTGACCGAGCCCATGCTTAACACCCCACTTGAATTCTCCAACATAGCGGCTTGCATCCTCACATGTATGTACTCCGCACCCATGGCTTTGCCCACTAGACCACTCCCCAGCATATACATCACCAGTATAAAATCTATAAACCCCAAAACCATGCCTAAGCCCCTGTCTATACTGTCCTCTATATCGGCTACCTCTTGCCCAAGTCTCAACTCCGTGGCCATCATATTTCCCATCAACCCAATCCCCCTCATACCTCCCGCTCATGTAGTAATAATACACACCGCTCCCCGAACACTTGCCCTTATGGAATTCACCCTCATACACGTCCCCATTGCTATAAACCTGAACCCAGCATCCCGAATTCACTCTTTTCTCAGCTTTTGTCCGGGACCCGATGGACCAGAACACCGGCAAAGGACTGGATATGGAATGGGACGCTTTCAGCTTAATCGGGAACGAGCGGGCCAAGAACAGCCGTATCGAGGGGAGCCGGGGGAGCGCCAAATTGAGCGAAAACAGGAGCGCGGCGGAGAACGCGAAGGCCGAGACGAAATCGAGCAGGAACGAGTTGCTCGGGTGGGACACGAGGAAGTAAAAGAAGGGGAGGGACAGGAGGAGGATCAGGCGGAGGTGAACGCGGAGCCGCCGGAGGTGCTTGAACCGGCGGAGCAGGCGGGAGGCGGTGGACTTGGCGGCGACCGCGATCGGGACCAGGGCTCTCCGCGGGGCGGCGAAATGCTGGGCGGCCGGCGCCGCCGTCGGGGTCGGGGGAGAGAGGCGGTACACGGTGGGGGACTTGGGGAGGGAAGCGGCGGGAGGAGGGGAGAGCTGAGTCAGGAGCGGGCGCTTGTAAGGGGTGGAGGGGGCGATCGGGTCATTCTGGAGGAGGCCCGGCGGCGGGGCGGCGAACTGGAGGGGGTCGAAGGCGGCGGCGGCGGAGGCGAGGAAGGGGGGGAAGTGGTGGTGGTGGTGGTGGCCGCCGGAGGAGTGGGAGTGGGAGTGGTGGAGGGAGGAGGAGGGGATGGGGTTGAAATCGGAAGAGACGCCGGTGCTTTCTGTTCCGATCTGGACTTCTGATTTCTTCTGATGCATCACATCACACACTCGGATTCATTCAAAAACCAAATTCCTCCTTTCCTTCCTTCCTTCCTTCCCTCCTTCCTCCTTCGTCTTCTTCTTCCTTCGTCGAATGCTACTCTCTCTCTCTCTCTCTCTCTCTCTCTCTGCGTGTCGATGATTTCAATCTCTCTCTATCTCCATTGATGCATCACACACTCCAATTCATTCGAAACCAAATTCCTCCTTCCTCCTTCCTTCTTCTTCCTTCTTCCTCCTTCCTCCTTCGTCTTCTTCCTCGTCGCCGTCGTCTTCGACGAATGCTTCCTTCTCTCTCTCTCTCTCTCTCTAGCTCTGCGTGTCGATGATCGTCAATCTCTCTCTAGAACTCAAATCGCCATGGACGGACGGAGTGTTTTGGCGTGTGCAGAAGCAAGCCGCTTCTCTCTCCCGATCTCTTATCTAATTATGGCCCCTCTCCTTTTTTTTTTTTTTGTTTATTTTTGCGAAGGAGTGAAAAACCATTTCTTTTTTTTTATTGTTTTTTATTTTTTGAAAAAAAGAGCTTCGTATGACTGGCCGGCGCCTGCGGCTCGGCTGATGGGGAGAGGCTCACTGAATTCCCGAAAATGCCCCTCCCTTTTCTCCGAATTTTGGTTCGTTATATAATGCGGTATCCGAACTTTTAATATTTTCAACGCGATCCCTGAATTTTGACCCAATGTGGAATGTGCTCCATGAACTTTTGATTTATTCGATGTCGTCCCTAAACTTTTGATACATATTCAATTCAGTCTCTGAATTATATGAAAATATTTAATGTAGTCCTTCCATTAATTCAAGTTCAGGGACTACATTGAACTTTTTCATATAGTTCAATGACTTCATTAAACATGTACCAAAAATCCGGGAACCACATTAAATAAATCAAAAGTTCAGGGACCACATTGAACATTAAGTTAAATTTCAGGGATTGCATTGAATAATTTAAAAGTTCGGGTCCAAATTGCACATTGGGTCAAAGTTTGAAGACCGTTTGTGTTATTATCCTTTCTATTTTCCCTTCTTTTTTTTGTGCTTTCTTGAAATGGATTATTTCCTTCTGACCAAAAAAAGAAAGAAATGGGATCGTTCCCATTTTCCACGAAATTCTTACGTGGACGGGATGATCTCAATAGCTGTATTAGGGGACCCATGTATACCAAGTAATATCGTCAAGGACCAAACTCATCTGCCCTAAATTAGTCGAGTGGCTGAAACAACTCGATGTCGTGCCCTAAGAACGAAATGCGAGATCTCATCGTTTATTCCGACCCAGTTCGATCATCTGAGGCTGCGTCGCAAGGAAATAATTTCTTATGAACCCTCTACTTTCAATGCGAATAGCTTGCCGGTCTCTGATCAAATCGGGGAGATGAAGTTAATCTGATGCGCAAAAATTTGACTCAAAATATCACAAGCAATTACCATCCATGGAGAGGATTGGATCTAGGCGAAAATGGCCTTTTGATCGAGATCATGCACTAGCGTGAGTACTTCTATTGTCTACTTTTCTTACACATACAAACGCTAACACGTAGAGTTGATCGTTATAAACTTTTCATAAATGCAGAACGAAATATTTTTCTTTCATTTGTTTTACATTTTCGAGGGAAAGTTTTAAGGAGGGGCAGACTCCTGTCTCCGTCCAAACATTTGCAATAGCATTCGCTTGCTATATCACATTCACAACAACCATAATAAATGATATTGTCTTAATCCGACTCAAACTCGACAATTTTTTTCTTTTTGGAATACATGCTCTTTTTTTTTTCAATTTTTTTAATTTTGGAGGAAAAATTACAAAATAGAGATTATAAGTGGGTTTTGTATCGTCCTTCCAAACAATTGCTGTTACATTTTACAATTTTTTACCAAAAACTTGACTAAAGAGTTTCAATCTAAGAAAGTTAAATATAATAATATTGACGTAAGAATCGAGAACGACGGTCCCCATATTCGAATCTACCTTGGAATAATCGTCGTTAGTCTAGGCGACTATTATGTCCAGCTGCTATTTCATTTTCATGATGTGACAGTTTTTTTTATTAATTTTATCAAATTGTTTGAAGTTGTTGCTATTCCAAAACTAAAATCAATTTTATAGAAACTAAGATTTCATTAGTTTCGTGGAAAATAAATAATTTCGAAAAATTTCTTGAAAATGATTATTTGTACCGCTTACAAAGATGAACGAACGAAAAATATTTTTATCGTTCACGAAAATATTTATATATAAATTGTTATCAATAACGAAAATAATATTTATTTGATTAGTTATTCCAAAAGATACAAGCGATTATTTTTTCCAAATTATTCATTTTTCGGCGAAATAAACGGGGTCTAAGATGACGATGAAGTTGTAGAAACGAAAACTTGCATTTCAAAAGATACAAGCATCGACATCACATGTTTCTTTTGCTAATAATTCATCACCAACGATCGCCAATTTCACTATACCAAAGGTCGAGAATTAAAAACATGGTTGTAACTTTCAGAGGGACGCATTAGCAAACTAGCGAATGCGCACATGCGTTGCGTGCAAAATTGATATTTTGAAAATTTAACAAAATCACTTTGTCATAATCATTTGGGTCAGTAAAATAACGGAAAGGAATTATTAATAAAAGTATGTAGTACAAAGAGATTGAATAAATATATTTGAAAAGAGAAAAATAAACAAAAAAAAATTGACATTTGAAAGATTTTGCCAAATGGTATCATAATTTTTAACAAAATATGTGAATTGTCAATTAATAAAAAGAAGCTATTGATGCAATGTGAAAAAAATTGTATATACATATGTGAGTGTGAAAAGAGAAAAGGTATTTCAAGATTTGAACTTTTTTTTGATAATGTTGTTTGTAAGATATACATTTAAATTTTAAAATTGAAGTATAAAGCAGATATATTAATTCACACATTTGTCCATTGATAGGGTTAATACCACAAAAAAACCCCAAATTGGTACATATGTGCCAAATTTACTCCAAACTAATTTTTTTATCATAAAAAATCCAAAACTGGTACATCTATGACAATTTTACCCTCCATCAGTTTCTGTTAAATTTTACCGTCAAATTTCTGAGTTGGATGACATGTGGAAGGTTTACGGGGGTACCAGTTTAGGGTTTTACCCCTCTATTTGTCACATATTTACCAATTGATGATGTTTCGTTGTATTAATACAACTTAACGGAAGGTAAATTTATCGCAAGTGTACAAGTTTGGGGTTTTTTGTGGTTAAAAACTTAGTTTTTGGTAAATTTGTCATAAGTGTACCAGTTTTTGATTTTTTGTGGTAAAAAAATTAGTTTAGAGTAAATTTGTCACAGATATATCGGTTTGGCGTTTTTTTTTGGTATTAACCTTTGATAAAATATCTATATAACAACTAATTGAGGATTTTTTGGGAAGAAAAACAAACGGATCGCGACCCGTTAAGAGTAGGAAGTCCTCTTTGCTCGAACATTCACCATCAATTGAGAATAGGGTTATTTTGGTCATTTGAGGTTGGACATCAAATGTGAAATATTTATATATACATTAAAGATTCATCCTATATGTTTTATTATATAAAGCGAAAAGGAACTCGGGCTTTTTAGAGAGGATCACAATCCTTTTTTCCCCCTACAAAATATCCTCAATTAATTATTTCATAAATATTCTACCAACTGATAAATTCGTAAATTATTTATTTTACTTTAATTCTCTTGTACTCAAATTTTATATAATTTATCTTACATATTTTGTGACAACCTTACCAAACAAATTTTCAAATGCTTTGAATATGTTTTTCTTTTTCAACACATAGGGAAAGTTCTTCACAATTTGTCAAAATCTTATTTCCGTTGATTAATAATTCAAACAATTTGTTATAAGGCATATTTACAAAATATTAAATATCAATTTTCTTTGCATACACGCAAGCGTATGCGTATGTACTTTTCCTAGTAAGCTCATATTGACAAATAATTCCTATTGAAAAAGAAGGCGTAGTATAAGGGAACTTTTGCATACCTCATAGTTTATGATGGCATTTATTAATAAGTAAAACCTTTTTGTAACATCTAACTATCGGGATGGAGGACCAAAATAGTATAATTTTCATAGTAAGCGAAGTAAAATGAAAAAATAAAATAAAATAATAATAATAAATTCATTAAAATTATATAAAAAATTTATAAAATTTGTTAGCGTCAGTACCGACGACGCTATGTCAACGATTTCCGGCCGAAATTGGTCTGATGGAATGAATTGACACAGATATAAAATGTTTATGATTTAATTGGCAAAAAAATGTTTAGGACTGAATTGGCTCAATTACAAAAGATTTATGATTTTGTTGGTAATTTTCCCGATTAAAGAAATAGCCGACAGCTATTTAGAAGTTAAATACATAGCAAAAGCTTGAGTGCCAAGTTTTTGAAGAGTATAAGCTTGTGAATTGAATATTATGGCATGGGAGGAAAAGTTGGTGTGGCTTGCACCCATTGAAACATTCCAACCACATGATGATGGACCACACTTGGAAAAGAATAGTAATCAATGAAATTAGAGACATCTTTTTCTCACAGTAGAGTGATTTCTGGAGGGTTGTCTGAATTTAATTTTTGCACTAGTCCTAAGGTCGGTTCAATGACACCGTACATGACTAAAAATAATCAAAAAGTCAAATGGGGCTGCTCCTCTTTAATTCAAGTGATTATTTATGAGGACCATGCTGCTTGCATAGCGCGCAGTAATTTTGTGGCCGAGATTGAGAACATGCCGTTTAGGCCCAATTTGGTGAGCAGATATTTTCAAGTGACGGATACACCATGTGATAGTGACATGTGATGCGATCGACCGATCAATAGTGAGATGCATACCTACAAGGCGTCTTCATAGTATGTGCATAATGGCGATCGATCGATCATATCACGTCGTTATTGATCGGAGGTGTATCCATTAGACTTGAGCATCGGGTCCGATTCTACGAGGGAACAAGACCGGACCAGCTGGTGCGGTCCCGTTCTAAAGAGAATTGGTTTAGTTCCCAAATTCCGAGAACCTAAAGCCGGTCGGTTTCTGATTCCAAGACCAGAACCTACACGGGAACCAAAGTCCCACCGTTCACCAATTTAAAAAAATGCATCAGGCCAAAGGCAAAGCCCATGGGCTCTTCGGTTGATTATAGGGGAATGCTTGGGCCTTTCGGCCAATTTGAAAAGGGCTTCGGTCGTCCATTATCCAAGAAAGGCTAATCTCCG